GTGGCGCCCTGTGATTGGGCGAAAAAAACAGTTTTTCGTTTTTTTATTTTTTATTTTTTTTATGTTTTCAACAAATGAGAGCTGGACAGCTCACTGGGGGTCGGACCCCCACTGGGGGTCGGAAGCGCGGTTGGAATTTTATAGTGTGTAATAAATCAAAAAAATTAATACATATTCTAACATATCATTATGAGTTTATGAGTACTTTTTGAGAGTAAAATATTTTGGTTTTAGAAATTTTAGATTGTCATACACTACAAGAAAAGTGGGTATATGAGACAGAACTATTTGCGACGGCACACTTGCCGTCTCAAAAAAGTAGAGTATTTGCGACGGCACCATTTGTCGTCTCAAAAAAACAGAGCATTTGCAACGGCACAATTTGCTGTCTCAAAAAATGAGAGCATTTGCGACGGTATTTTCTGCCGTCGCAAATACTCTGCTTTTTTGAGACGGCAAATGCTGCCGTCACAAAAAGTGACTTTTTGAGACGGCATGTGTGCCGTCGCAAATAGTTCCGTCTCATAAACCCACTTTTCTTGTAGTGTTGGCCTGAGATTAGCATTTGATTGGCTTTCTGCATGTACCTCCTTAGTGAGGTTATGCTTCTTAAGTTATGATGCCTTGATCTTTGGTCTCTTTTATTGATATAATTTCACTGTTGAGAAGGAGATTCATAATCTGGCTTTGGGCCGTGGTGGAGGTCGGGCAGAAAGAGGTCCGAGCGTATTTGGGCCGGCTAACTTAGGCTTGTCCAGAGTTGGTTTGCTCAACTGAGGTCTAGGGCCCATTCAGCCGAGATGATCGTCTGTCAATTTCTCTTTTCATTCATTTTTTCATCTTCATGTCTCTCTGTCTCTATCTCTCTCTCTTCTCTTTATCTCTTTCACTCATCACTCTTCTTTCTCTATCTGTCTGTTTCTCTCTCTCATTTTCTCTCTGTGTCTCTCGCCTATCTCTCTTCTCTCTATCTCTCTCATCTGTTTTCTCTCGCTCATCTCTCTATCTCTCTCATTTCTTTTCTCTCTCTCTCTCTCTCTTATCTTTCTATCTCTCTCTATCTCTCTCGCTCATTTCTCTTCTCTCTCTGTCTCTCTCTTTATCTGTGTCTCTCTCTCACTCATCTCTTTTTGTCTATCTCTCGCTCATCTCTTGTTTCTCTCTCTTTTTCTATCTTTCTCTCTATCTCTATCTCTCTCTCTCTTTCTCTTTTCTGTCTCTCTCTCTCTCTCCCTGTCTCTCTCTCAATCACTACCCTTCTCTCTCTCTCTACTTGTCTATTTGTCTATATCTCCCTCACTATGTTCGCCTTACTCACTCTCTTACTCCCATCTTCTCTATTTATCGAGCTCCTTCTCGTTTTATCGATCCACTATAAACGACGTCGTCTTACTCTTTTGAACATTTCTCTTTTCACCCATTTTTTCAGCTTCCTATCTCTCTGTCTCTGTCTCTCTTCTCTTTTCCTCTCTTACTCATCTGTCTGTCTGTTTCTCCCTTTCTCTATATGTCTCTGTCTCTCTCTCACTCATCACTCTTCTCTGTCTGTCCGTCTCTCTCTTTCTCTCTATGTCTCTATCTTTATTCTTTCTATCTCTTTCATTTATCTTCTCTCTCTGTCTTTCTTCTCTGTCTCTTCTTTTTTCTCTCTCTCGCTTTCTCGCTCATCTCTTTCTGTCTCTCTCTCGTTTATCTCTTTTCGCTCTTTTTTTTCTCTTTCTTTGTCTCTCTCTTTGTCTATATCTTTTCACCTATTTTTTCATATTTTTCTCTGTCTTTTCTTTCTCTCTCTCATTCATCACTCTTCTCTCTCTGTCTGTCTATTTGTCTCTCTCTCTCTCTCTCTCTGTGTCTCTCATTCATCTATCTCTTCTCTCATCTCTTTTTTTTCTCTCTCTCTCTCTCTGTGTCTCTCACTCATCTCTCTCTCTCTCTCTCTCACCACTCATATCCTCTACCACCTTCACTACTACTGCAAACGCCATTTAACTACCACCACTACTACCACGGTCGCCATTTCATCTCTACGACTACCATTACTACTACCATCGCCACCACTCCACTACCACCATTACCACTATTGCCACTACTACTACTACTACAATTACCTCTCTTTCACTCCTACTACTCCATCTACTCTACTACTACCACAACTTCACCACTAATCTCCTTCGCCATCACCATCACCACCACCACCACCACCATCATCTCTTATCCACCACCTTCACCACTACTGTCGGTTCCTCTTCTCTACCACAAAATATTACATCTCTTCTCTCTCTCACTCATTACTCTTCTCTGTCTGTTAGTCTTTGTCTTTGTCTCTTTCTCTTTCTCTTTCTCTCTTTGTCTCTCGCTCATCTCTCTTCTCTCTATCTCTCTCATCTCTCTATCTCTCTTCTCTCTTGCTCATTTATCTTCTCTCTATCTCTCTCTTCGTCTCTCTCGCTCATCTTTCTTCTCTCTTCGTCTCTCTCGCTCATCTTTATTCTCTCTTCGTCTCTCTCTTTTTCTACGTCTTTCTCTCGATCATCTCTTTTCGCTCCTCTTTCTCTCTTTCTTTGTCTATCTCTCGCTCATCACTTGTTTCTCTCTATTTTTCTATATATCTCTCTCTATCTGTTTCTCTCTCTGTCTCTCTGTCTCCCTGTCTCTCTCTATATCTCTTTGTCTCTCTCTCACTTATCACTATTCTCTCTTCTCTATCTGTCTCTCACTCATCTCTTTCTCACCACCCATCTTCTCTACCACATTCACCACTACTGCAAATGCCATTCCATTATTACCACTACTACCACCACAAAAAAATCATTGACCACAAAAAATTAACTTTATTTTAATGGAAAATATTATCCCTACTTCTACCAAATAAAAAAAAAAAAAAATTTTTTATTCATTAAAATAAATATGAAACAAATAAAATTTCAACCTTACTAAATGAAAAAATAAAAATAAAAATTCATTGACTATAAAAAAAATTATTTTAATAAAAAATTATTTTTTTAGCAATGACATCCTCTATTACAAAAAAAAAAGTCATTTTATTATTTAAATATTTATTTATAATGAAAATAAAAAAAATCCAAAAAATTTTTCATTCTCCCTCCTGCCTTTTCCATTCCCGCTCGGTTCCCCCACCCCAAACCCAAAATCCCCAATCTCAAAAATCCCTAATCCCTTCCCCCCCATTCCCGCCCGGGTTTTCCCCCACCCCAAACCCAAAATTCCCAATCTCTTCAACCAGTGCAGTGAAGCAACTTCACACCCAACCTCTCAATCCATTCGATCTCTCTCTCTCTCTCTCTCTCTCTCTCTCTCTGTTTTTATGCATTTTTTTCCTTTGATCTTTGATTCATTGATTTCTCAGGGAGTATTCTCAGCGCCGGCGGTGGTGGACCGTTCGAGAAAGCAACGTCGTCCGATTAGATCGATATGATTGACAAATTTCAGAATGCTGCGCTCGAGTCTCGCCTCGGGATTCCACTTCTCTACGGTACTGACGCTGTTCATGGCAACAACAACGTCTACGGTGCCACTGTATTTCCTCACAACATTGGCCTTGGAGCTACTAGGTATTATATGTAACTATTGTTGTTGCTTGAGAGAGTGTTAGTTTGTGTGACAGAGATGCAGAGTTGGTTAGGAGGATTGGAGTTGCAACTGCTCTTGAAGTTAGGGCTCGTGGCGCTCAGTTTACTTTTGCTCCTTGTGTGGCTGTAAGTTCTCGTAATTTTTTATATTAGATTATTTGATCGGATTATTATCAGACCATTCTGTGTTCATTTTGGTTCAAATTGGTCATCCATGTATCAAAGATTTATGTAAATATGAATGAACTTTGTTTGTGGCATTACATGTTTGATCAAACGCGAGAATGAACTTTGTTTTTTTTCTTTCCCAAACAAAATATGAATCTTAAGCATTTTCAATGAAGTTGAGACTGAAAGATAGAAATGGACGGTAAGCTAAGTGGGCAACTGTTAGATTTCTTTGAGAAATAAATGCAGAGAAGTGGTTGTTTTTGTATAGCTTTAAAATGATCTTTAGCACGATACAGTCATATTTTGGGAAACGATCACTATATTGGATAAATTTCATAATCTTAGCCGTAACCAGAAGTTCTTCATGATTACCCCCATCCCTCTATCCTTTTTTTTTTTTCTTTTTAATTTGAAGCCAACAAATCACAGAAGATAAGAAGACAAACTTGCCTGCCCACTTTTTAAATTCCATTTTGATTTTCATTCCTTATATTTGGTTTCTAGTATTTTTTTTATGGTGTCTATTAACCCTTTAATTATTCTAGATTCATGTATACTTATTTCATTTTTGCATGAGCTAAATTATTGTTTTTGAGAACTGATATATGTGACCCATTTTTTTGCACCTTTGATATCTCCATGCACATGGCAAGATAGTATTTGTTTTCATTATTTTCTTAATGACCAATCATGATTATTCACGTAGGCGGTGATACAAAACAGTAACAAAAAATTTGTGACACATAACATTTCTCATTATTTTGTAAGCAATTTGGATAACTTTTGTAGTAATTTTATTTTTATTTAATTTTTTTTAACTGCCCTTTAGTTTAGTCTTTATCCCAATTCGTCTTTTTTAATGGATTACAAATATGCATTACCCTTTAGTTTAGTCTTTATCCCCACTTCGACTTTTTTAATGGAGTACAAATATCTGTACACTAAGGCCTCGTTTGGGAACAGGCTAATTTAGTAACTTTTTGGCTATTTGGCTAAAAAAGTAGGTAAAAAAAACTTATATGTTTGGCATGACTTTTTGGCTAATTACAAAAAGATGTGCAAAAATTAGAGAGAAAAGAGAATCTTTGACTTTTTGGTATGAGTTGTTGACTTTTTGGCTAAAAATGTAACTTTTTGGCTTTTTAGCGAAAAAGGTAAGTCCCCAAACGGGGCCTAAGTCTCTGTCGACATTATGAACAAAAGTTTAGTACTTGCCTTGGTTCTAGTTACAAAATGCTATAATATGGTTAAATCCACTATTGGAACCTTCCATGCCATCTGACTTCTATCTGATAATGGGGCTAAACCGCATCATAGAAGGAAAACTTAGGTTCCCACTTCCTGATATTAAGACTAGGAGGTGCATCTTCCAGGTAAATGCATGACATGATTATGCAAATATAAGATTAATTATTAATATAGATTTCCATTAACCCTATCTTTATGATAACTTATGTGCCAAGCAAACCTTTTATGTCAGAAATGCAGATACACAAATCTAGGATGACGTTGGCTGATGATGTCAACTTAGAAGAATTTGTTATGACCAAGGATGAGTTTTCTGGAGCCGATATAAAGGCAATATGTATTGAAGCTGGTTTACTTGCTCTAAGAGAGCGCCGTATGAAGGTGAGACAACTTCATTGTTGAATTATATGTGTATCATTTGTGTTTGTTGCAATTCCGTGTTACAACTAATTCTTAAAACATGATGTTTTTTGGCTGCTCTGAATTTTGGCTTGTAAAGTGGAGATATGAGAGTATTAGACACAGATGAACTTTAAGTAAGGATTAGTGTTTTCAGACCCTTAGTTATACTATATTGGGTCCCCTCCTATAGATCTAATTTTCAACTTTGTAGAAAGAAAAAAGATGGGACTTTGTGAAGGGAAAATATCGAGAAGCAAAACAAAGGAAGAAACAAAAATGAAGAGGCAGATTATGGCCTGTTTGTTTTTGTTGATCAAAAAGATTATGGCCTGTTTTGTGGACATATTCTGTTGCAAATCCCCCAGTCCAATATTTATTTTGCTGGTTGTTTGGAATCCTTAAGGCAGTGTTTGGTTCATGGATTTGGGGAGGGATTTGGAAAAGGAAAGAGAAAATGTAGGTGAAATGTTAATCCCCAAATCCTTGAACCAAACGCAGCTGAAATCAACAATATTAGACTGGAATCTATTTGGTTAGTAAATTTCACAAAGTACAGATTTTTTTGACTTCGTATTCAATTTTTAGGCACACAATATGCATAGGTGACATTGGCCTCGTATATGTTAGTGAACTCATGATGTCTAAGTTTTGCCTTTTCAACTACGGAAAGAGCAGAACAAAGTGAAATACTACTAATGATAATTAGACTAACCAAGAACAAAAACCTCAATGATAATTAATTATTACAAGAGTAAATAAATGAACCACTATGTTAGTTATTTCTCTGAGTTTGCCTGTCCATTAAATATATATGTCCACATCAGTCTTGAGGTCCTTAACTTTGTACTTGTGAATTCAAAATCTATAGAAATTATTGGATGCTTTATACAATTGCATGTTGTTTAGACTTCGTCTAATAGAAATTGTTCTATGTGTGCCTCAGGTTACGCATTCAGACTTCAAGAAGGCTAAAGATAAGGTCATGTTCAAGAAGAAAGAGGGGGTGCCAGAAGGGCTCTATATGTGAAAATACTCTGTTCTCTATGCATATAGGCATTTGTGAAGAAAGTAAGAATTCAATCAGGGATGAAAGTAAGAATTCAATCTAATAACCTATAGAATTCAATCAGGGACATACTTGTAATTATTGTGAAGAAATTGTTATTTTTAGATTATTATGGAAAATTTTTAATATTTTTATCGTAGGATTTTTTCTTTTTTGCGACGGCATTACACCGTCGCAAAAAATAGAAAATTTTAATATTTTTATTAATTTTGTTATAGGTTTTACATTTTGCGACAGCATTATACTGTCGCCAAAAATAGAAATTTTATTATTTAAAATAGAAATTTTATTATTTTTTAATACTTTTTGCGACGGCATTACACTGTCGCAAAAATGGAAAATTTCATATTTTTAATACTTTTTGCAACGGCACCACACCGTCGCAAAAAGTGTTTCTGCCGTTGCAAAAAAGACTATTAGCGACGGTATTTTTTGCCGTTTCAAATAACATTTTTACCGACGGTAAAATCGTGCCGTCGCAAAAAAGTCAAGAAATTTCAAACGTTATTAGCGACTGCACAGTGCCGTCGCAAAAAGGCAAAAATGCCGTCGCAAAACATTAGCGACGGCAAAAAAGTCTTTTTCAACCCCTCCACTTGCGACCCCCTCTTGCCGTCGCAAAAAGTATTAGCGACGGCATTAGGAGTATTAGCGACGGTATTTTACCGTCGCAAAAAGTTAATTTTTTTGTAGTGATATGAATCAATAATTTGAGCACGTTTTGTTGACTAAGAGGTGTTTTGAAAAGTTGACTTTATAATTTTTTTTAGTTTATTTTATCTTTTTATAAATAAGTTATGTGAGAGGTGATGTGACCTAAAATTAGTAAAAAGTTAAAAGTTGGCTTTTTATTGGCTTCACAAAAGAGCACTAATTGGCATAAATAGGAGAAATTATTCATTGTTACAGGGGCATTACTCTACACTATTTATGTTTAGACAAGTGTCCAGTTATCTCCTCATAAAAGAAAAATAAGTGGTGGGATCCACTATTTCAACCAAAAATTTTTAGGTTGGTGCACCACCTAAATTTGCCTATAAGACAATGAATAATTTCTCCATAAATAGATGGATAGATAGAGTGCGCTGATTGATGGTTGTAATTTGTAGCTGATTGATAATTCATCTACTAGATTTTTTTAGTCTGAATTTGTCTAAATGAATCTCTTCCCGAAAGAGACTTGTGCTTGAAAATTTCTTTCTGGAAAAAGGCTTATTCTGATTAAATAAATTCACCGAATGTAGCGATGGTATTTGTAACAATGATTCCAATGAAGAAGCAGTGATTCCAAATGCGCAGAACACAAAATTTGTGACAGAAAAATGAGATGCAAATTTTACTTCCATCACTTTTTATTTTTTAATTTTTAATGCCATTGTTAGAATGTCCATGTACTCTCAAGATATAAACAAAATTTTGGAAAATTTACATACAACTCTTATATGGGGGAATATTAATTTATTTAGTCTTAAAAATTTTCTTATGAAGCAATTAGTCGTTTTTATTTGAAAATTGTATTTATTTGATTTTGTACCATTTGAATTTAAGTGAATGTCCTTTATGATTCATTTTTTAAATGGAAATGAAAATGTGAGGTGTGAAAGGTTCTTTTTGGAGGAATTGGTAGCTAAAGTGTTGGTTATTGAGCGTGAAAATCTACATTTCTATTAGTGTGATTTTCTGGTGTTACATTGAAGTGTTACATTAGAGTGCTACTGTAGACACTCCATTTTTGACCGCCCTTAAGACTTGGGCGCTACTAATGGTTTACTTGGTGGTGAAAGTTGTGCAATGCAAGGGTTGATTTCTTCGACAAGAAGAGAGAGCGTCAAATCCAAACCTCACACCTCATTTTTTGGACCAAAAAGATTTTAGATCTTAAAACCCTCTTTTTCAAAATATTTTTGAAAATGTTCTTACGATGTTCCGAGGCTCACATTTTGTTAAATATTGTGCTTTTCGATAAACCGAGCAAGGACAAAATGGAATGAATGAAAGAGAGGTGAAATCTTTGAAAAGATCTTTAAAACATCTTTTTTTAGAGGTTTAGAGTTGAAGAAAATTGGAGGAGAGAGAAGAAACCAAGTTGGGGAAGAAGATAGGCATGAACTGTTGAGACAGAGTCAAGCAATCCTCGCCAAATCAGGCCTATTCGTTTTTACATTTGGATTTCAGCTATGAGGCCACCACCATTGGAAAGAAGACTTCCGGGGCTTCATTTTTGCATTCAAGAATCTCCTCAAGCCGTGTCCGGATGAGGGAGATATGGCTGGTTGAAGTTAAGCATCAATCCGGTTGAACCGAAATTGGGCAGTCTTCACTAAAAGAGGGATATCTCTTAGCATACTTGGAATTGTGATGTGAGGCTACCACCATTGGAAAGAAGACTTCCAGGGCTTCAGCTTAGGCACAAGAATGACCTGAAAAGGAGTTCAGATAAAGGAGTTATGCCTGGTTGAAGTTGAGACCATGGACTAATTTTTGCTGCCGGCCTCTATGGGAGTGTGCCGGCCATATGCCGGCCAAAAATGATCCTTGCCGGCCAGAAATGATGTAGTGCCGGCCATCAATGATCCCCGGCCGGCCAACGATGAAAAAAATTCAGATTTTTTATAGATATTTCTCTTCTAGCTGTTTTCACAATGTGCCAGCTGTCCTAGCTCAGATATTTTCAGCCAAGCTCTTGTTTTTGCTATATATGGAGCTATATCTCTCATTTTCAAGAGGTTAGAAATTTTTGAGAGCTTCTCACACTAAAACCTCTCTCTCTCTACAAATTTTCAGAGTTAAAAACTCTCTTTGTTTCTAGAATTCTCTCTCCCTCTCCCTATATTGTGCTATATTGTGCTTGAAAGTGGTTTTTCTTTACATATTTGCATACACTTCCGTAACCAAAGTTGTATATCTTTGGGCTGAGGTCCTTTGGAACTTATTTTTGGGCTGTTGGAAGGTCATTTGAGCCAAGAAAGTGGCTGTTTTGCTGTTGTGCTTCAAAGGTAATCACTTATCCCCCTTAGCTTGTTTTGCATACTAGCTTTGCCATAGTTTTCAACTACTTTGGGGCTGTTTTTTGGGGTGGTGTTGAACTAAAAAAACTTCTGTTTTTCAGTCCTAAAATTGGTGGTTTAAGCCTTGTTTGGTTAGGGGGTGTTTCCCCCTCTTTACTCCTTGGCTTGTAAAGCCTTTTGAGCCATATTTCAAGGCATTTCAAACAGCCTTTTTCTTGGCCCTTTAACTACTAAATTCCAGGGGAATTTCAGTGGTAGAAAACTTGTTTTGAGGTCCCAAATAGGAGGGGGTGGCCTCCCCTCATTGTCTCTCCATGCTATGCCTAGTTAGCCTTGCAAAGTAGCATGTTTTTGTGACTTGTCTTAGCTCGGTTTAAGCATGTTTTTGCCACTGATTTGCCATATTATAACTCTGTTTTGGCTGGTTTGGTCACCTCTTGCATGCATCTTACACTTGTAATGTAAATCCTGCTTGCTAGCCTAACATGCTTCATGTCTTAGCCTATAATTCTAGCATGAATTGGCTTCACTCCAGCATGTTTTTGGCCATTATTTAACAAGCTTTAACTCTGATTTTGGTTGGTTGGGTCACCTCTTGCTTGGTTTTTGCACTTGTAGTGCAATCATGCTCATTAACCTAGTGTACTTGGTGATTTGGCTTATCATTCTAGTTTATTTTGGCTACACTCCAACATGCTTTTACTAATATTTTAGCATGCTTTAACTCTGTCTTGAGTGGTTTAGGTCCTTTAAGGCTTGCTTTGTATAGCTATAGCATGATAGGCTTCACTAGTCTTGTGTTTTGAGTCCACTAGCATGCTTTGCTTGGGTTGTTTGCATGATATGGTATCATATAATATGTGATTTCAGAGCATGTTTCACTGTCATACTCTCATGTTTATCACTCTTTCATTGTGTTTAAGAGTTGTGCCTTTATGCCTTGTTTGTGAGCTAATACAAGAGCATATCTTTCTTGCCATCTATGTTGCAAGTCTAACATGTTTTTGCTACTGTTTCGACCTGCCTTAGGTCTGTTTTGTGTGGTCAAGGTCATTTGAGCATTGCTTAATATGGTTGTAGTGTAAAGGGGCTTGACTAGCTTTGAGTTTTGGGGCCTTTAACATGTTGTGTATGTGATGTTTGCATAGTATTGCACCATTTGGCATGTAATTTCAGTGCATTTAGTGTAGACACACTCTCATACACTTCACTTCTTCATAGCTCTTGAGAGTTGTACCTTATGCTTTGTTTGTGAGACAACACATGAGCATGCATTTCTTGCCTTTCATGCTATCACTTCAGCTCATTTTGGCCACTATTTTGGCATGCATGAGGTCTATTTAGGGTTGGTTTAGTCCTTTGAGCATTGTGTTGCATGGTTCTAGTGTTGTGTCCTTCACTAGTTTTAATGCTTAAGTCTTCTAGCATGTTATACATGGAGTGTTTGCATGTTAGAGTCTTGTTTTTCATGCCACTTTAGCACTAAAAAATCTGCCACCTCCCTCATTTCTTCAGTTTTGATTTGTTTTGGGGATTGGTTAGTCTTGAGTTTGAGTTTAATGCATAGGATTGAGGCTTGTGCTTAAATGGCTTTAACTCTCTTTTGAGGGTTCCTCCTAGCCAATGGCATGGTCTCTCCTATGCCTTAAACCATTCTTTTGGTTGACCTCCTCTCCTTAGAGGACTTGCACATTGGACTTAACCAATTAAAAAATGGATTGGTAATCTTAAAATGTGTAAACAAGAATTGGACAAGTAAAACATGTCAAGATAAGCATGTTGCATTTGCATTGCATTGTGTTCAATCGGACGTGATATTGAACACAAGATGAATTGGTTCATTTCATACTTGAAGTGATAAAAATGAGCCAATTCTCTTTGTCTCCATTGCCTTTGATCACTCATGATAAGGCCGTGGTCTTAGTGTCCTTTTTGTTGTGCATTTATTGAATGTGTACAAGTTGGGTCTTA